CCACACCCACCTCCCTTCTTTTCCCCCCACACCCTTCCCTTCCCTCCTCCCTTCTCCCCCTAGCCATCCCCCACCCCTCCCTTTCCCTCCACCCCTCTCCCCTCCCCCTCCTTCCCCTCCCCTCCCTCCCACACCCCTCCCCTACTCCCCCCCTCCCCCACACATCCTACGCTCACCCTTCTCCCTCTCCCCTCTCCTCTCCCCTCCCTCTCCCTCTCCCCTCCTCCCTCCTCCCCTAACCCTCCCTTCTCCCCTCCCCCACACCTCCCCTCTCCCCTAGCCCCCCCCCCCCCCCACACCTCTCCTCTCCCCTCTCTCCTAAACCTCCCCCACACCCTCTCCTCTCCCCACACCCACCCCTCTCCCCCCACATCCTCCCCTCTCCCCTAACCTTCCCCTCCCCTTTCCCCTCCCCTCTCCCTCTCCCCCTCTCCCCCACACCCACCCTTGCCTCACACTCACTCCAAGTCTAGGCCTTCGAGTAGCTCCATTTCCTGTGTTGAATGTGTCTCTGACCGTGTAATTTACTGGAAGACAAGACTCATTCAAGTTGTCTTTGTCTTTGTTTCTGTCTTTTGGGTTGTCTGTGTGTCTGTCTGTTTGTTCGTTTGTTTGTTTGTGTCTTGTCTTTGTTTCTGTCTTTTGCGGTTTGTCTGCTGTGTGTCTGTTTGTTTCGTTTGTTTGTTTGTGTCTTTGTCTTTGTTTTGTCTTTGGGTTGTCTGTGTGTCTGTTTGTTTGTTCGTTTGTTTGTTTGTGTCTTTGTCTTTGTTTCTGTCTTTGGTTGTCTGTGTGTCTGTTTTGTTGTTTTTTGTTTGTGTCTTTGTCTTTGTTTCTGTCTTGTTGGGTTGTCTGTGTGTGTGTTTTGTTTGTTTTGTTTGTGTGTCTGGCTGTCTGGTTCTCTCTCTCTCTCTTTCTGTTTCTGTGGTTCTGTATGTCTGTCTCTGTCTCTCTGTGTTTGTTCTGTCTCTGTCTGTCTGTCTGTCTCTGTCTGTCTGTCTCTGTCTCTCTCTCTCTCTCTCTCTCTCTCTCTCTCTCTCTCTCTCTCTCTCTCTCTCTCTCTCTCTCTCTATCTCTCTCTCTCTCTCTCTCTCTCTCTCTCTGTCTCTCTCTCTCTCTCCCTCTCCTCTCTCTCTTCTCTCTCACGTCCACCAAGGATTAAAAAAAAAAACAAAAATACAAGAAAAAATAAAAGTCTTATCTGATTCACGTATAAATATATATATATATACATAAATGTAAAAACACACACACACACAAAAAAAACAGACATATTGGAAGGGGAAACAGAGGTCTACTTGTAGCGGAAATCTGTCCAGATTTTTTTACAAGAATTGTTTCGTAAAAAAAATGGCGTTCTTTTTTAAAGGTCATCTACTCGGTAAGACTTCCGTAATTGTGGTAACTCCCTACAATAAATTAACAAATGGATGAATATAAGAAAATAAATAAAAATGAAAGAAAAGAAGATGAAGTAAAAGTATATACATATATGTGTATATCTATCTATCTACCTACCTATCTATCTATCTATCTATCTATCTATATCTATCTATCTATCTATATCTATCTATCTATATCTATCTATCTATCTATCTATCTATCTATCTATCTATCTATCTATCTATCTATATCTATCTATCTACCTATCTATCTATCTATCTATCTACTATCTATCTATCTATTATATATATATATATTCATCATCATCATCATTACCATCACCACCTTCAACATCACCATAATCATCACAATTTAAGTAAAAAGAGAGAAAAAAAACCCGCCTCTATACTGTCGATCTGTCACAACAAGTTGTTTAGACGTTGAAGGCCTATATACCTCCTCCATAGGCCTACATGAGTCGGTAGCGGTCGGCGCGTAAGTAGAACACTGTAGGGGGGTGAGGGGGGTGAGAAGGGGAGGAGGGGATGGAGGAGAAGGGGCGGGGGAGGAGGGAGATGGGGTGGGTGGATGGAGGAGGAGGAGGAAGAGGGAGAGGAGGGAGGGAGAAGGGGGGGTGGAGGAAGAGGAGGAGGAGGAGGAGGAGGAGGAGGAGGAGGAGGAGGAGAGGAGGAGGAGGAGGAGGAGGAGGAGGAGGAGGAGGGAGGAGGAGGAGGAGGAGGAGGAGGAGGGGTGGAGGAGGAGGGAGAAAGGGTGAGGGAAAGGATGATGGAGAAAAAGTAGGCGGAGGAGGAGGGAAAGGGGGAGGGTGGAGGAGGAGGGAGAAAGAGGTGGATGGAAAAAGAACAGGACAAAGGATGAAGAAGAATGGAGAACAGACAAAAAGAAAAGAAAAGAAAAAAAGGAAAACAGAAAGAAAGAGCAAACAGAACAAAGAAAAGGAAACAGATAAAAAAGAGAAAGAGACAGAACAAAGAACAAAATATTAAGAAGAAAGACAAAAAGGAAAAAAGAATAAAGAAAGAAAGTAAGAAGGAAAAAGGGCGGGGCTATTTACCTCCGTAACTCCAGGTATC